GGATGCAGCCCTGGGGTTCTTCCTCCCTTCTCAGACGGCAGAAGCCACAGCCTGTTATCCCAAGGTGCCCTTCCCATCTGCTGTTTAAGCCATCCCTGCCCAAGGAGCCCCCTCCCTCGGCCACTTTCCTAGGACACTCCGCCTGCCCGCGGCGCGGATGGAGCCTGCAAAGCCTCACAGCACCAAGACTGCCCACCCTCCCGATCCTCCCCAAAGAACGGGCACAAATTAGCACGCAGGGGCTGCGTGCTGTCCCCGCAGGCGGGCTGACGCCTGGCATGGCTTTCAATTAGTCAAGTGTCATTGTCCCGAGGGCTCGGGCCACGCTCAGCTCCTTGACCCCTGGCTTCCCTCCTGCGCCCTCCCTCCCAGGATGCTGGCATGGCTCCGAACCGCCCTCTTGGCACAGATCTGGCACGGCTGAGAAAAGGCTTTTGGTGGCACCCAGTCTCTGCGCTCTGGGCTTGTTTTCTTTGGCCACATCACAGTTCCTTAGGACAGGGCTGGCTGTGTCAGATGGCAGCTCCTGCATCTCCCTCCTTGGAGAGCTGCGGAGCTGGAGGGAGAGGTGCCAGTCAGCCGCAGGGTGCGACGGGCAGGCAAGTGGAGGGTGAGCTGGGAGATGCACAGCATGGAGCTGGAGGTCAAGAAGACACCTGCTGAGGAGAGCAGAAAGAAAACACAACCTGGCCTCAGAGGCAGCAGAAGATACTTCCTAGGAAGGCAGAGGCGATCATGCAGCGTTTGCTGGAAGGGGTAAATTTGAATTAGCTGAAGATCGATCTGGGAGAAGGAGGTGGTGGGAAGGGGATGTTTATCCCAAGCTCTTTTTATTTCTATTCTGTTGATTCTCGTCCTTTCTAATTTTCTGTACTTTGAAACATCACACCTCCTGTTGTAACTAAACCTGCCCTTGTGGAGGTTAAACACCTTGGGGTTTTTTTAGGACACTCACTGCAAGAGAAGGTCCAGGAAACCGCCTCCAAGCACGGGCTGGGGCTGGCTCCTCTCTTTCGACCAATCTTCTCCCAAGAAGGGAGGTGGCCTGTCCCTCGGGGCTCCTCTCTGCACCATGGTGTCTGGACTGCTGATCGCTTTGTTGGTGGGACTGAAAAGATGACAATGTTACAGTGAAATGCAAAGGGCAAAACCGGGTAGTCCACGGTCAGCATCAACCTGGGTAGTCTAAGGGCAACATCAACTTGACCAATGCAGAACACGAGGCCATGGGTCCAGGAAGAACTGCAGAAGATCCAGCTAAGGATGACTGAGGCAGCCTGGGACACAGGGCTCATAAGACACGGAGATTGCTGGGCTGGCTGAGCCTGCTAATGAACACATTAAAGGCGAATTTAATTGCAGCAACAACTGCTTGGAGCTCCATTAAAAAAGGGTGGAAACTCACTCTTCCCACCAGGGGTAGGTGATGCAACAAGGGGCACAAGCCACAAATTGGGCTGGAAATTATGAGAAGCATCTTTCCCAGGAGGGTGACGTAGTCCTGGGACAGGTTAGTAGAGAGATGGAGTTTTCCAAGACCCAGCTAGAAAAAGCTACAGCAGATCTACTCTTGGTGATAGTCCAAACAAGAGGTTGGATAACAGACCCCCAAACGTCCCTTCCACAAACCCTGATGGAATCCTGTGGCCCAAATAAGGCACAGTAGCATGAGTTTATGGAAGTAGCTCTTGGCAAACTTGTAATTTTTTTCCTGAACTCCGTAGTTCAGCAGAGTGCACAGACTTTGAGTGTGTGAGACACAGTTGCTGGCTCAGCATCAGCATCATATGCAACACGTGAAATCAGTTTTAAACGAGGCTGGCACTCAGCAGGGACTCATACTGTGTCCAGCACAGTGGAGGCAGCACCTCTCCTTTAAATTATTAGAGATCTGGGAGATGATACGAAAACATTGCTGGCAAATCGTTCATGAAGTGTCCAAAACAGCAGTGTTGGAAATGACAACTTCTGTGCAGAGCAACGATCATGGCTTGATGACTGAGCCCACGAAAACGATTATAAGGTTGTGCTTGGGTCTGGAAACCAAAATGCAGATCTTTCCTGCAGAATGGGAGACTGCATGGAGGGAAGCAGCACCTGAAGGGACCAAGACAGAAGCCACCAGGGAGGTAAGAGCTGCCCACGTGGCTGAGCGAGGTAGCACTTGACACTTGGATGTGTAAAGAGACCAGCAAGACCAGCAAGGAAAGTAGCTTGTCTGCAGTAGAGCTGCTACTGGCTACAACATCTAGTTCAGGAAATTATGATGAAGAATATAGACGTTGCCACAAAGAGCCGTGGGAAGATCCACATTCTAGAAAGTCACCTCGTAGCAAGGCAGGATGATTCAGTTTGGTCTAATTAACTCTTATTTTTCCTTGAGACAAGCTACCCGCTGCCTGTGTCTACATGAGGAGAAACATCCTGCTACCAAAACAGTTATGTTGATGTAAAGGCCAATGTCAGTGAAATCCAGACCTTGTTGGAGCGGGGTACAGTAATGACCACAGCCATCTTTCTCTGGGAGAACACCGAGGTGAAAGGTATCCCCTTTCGGGATGACAGTCGCCACACCATCGCACCCCCCAGTGCCACTTCACTGGCCACACGTAGTACCTGCCCTCTGGCTGCTCCATGGGGATCATTTTCTTACTCCCTCACAGCAGCTTTTCCTGGGATGCTGAAGAATTTATGATACTTGAAGGTTAAAGGTGTTGCTGGTGATGCAGTGTCTCTCGCTCAGTCCCAAAAGCACCAAGCACAGGTGGTCCCCCAACGGTGGGCCATTCATCCCTGGGTGAACCAGGGCAATTTTGCTTTGCTTTCTTCAGGGCTGGGAGGTCCCTGAAGCCCAGCACAGTGGGCGCTTTGCAGGGAGGCCATCGTCCAGCTGTGGCGGGAGCACGACCCCATCACGTATCGGTCTTCTGCTCTGCTGGAGAAGGACCCTCAGCTGGCTGCTCAAGCCCGAGCAGAGGCAGAGGGAGGCTGTAATCACTGCTTCCCCAGACTCATCCCTCTCCTCCCTCCGCACGCCTTCCTCTCCCCACAAACCCTCCATTCTCCTGTCCCAGCTCTGCCTTTGTGTCTGCAGCTTCTGTTACCAACTGCTAATGATCTACATCAAGGCTGCCAGGCGGTGCCCAGAGTAAGCAGAAGAATTCAGAGCCTCTAATTACAGAGGAATTAGCAAGCAGACAGTTACTGTTTAGTGCTAATGAATAGATACATTAAGAAAGACATCACACAGGCTGAGAAGTGTGAGCCCTGATAATAAAGGAGTGTCAAACAAGGAAAACACAAGGAGGAGGATCCAGGGGACTGAAAAGGATTTGCCTGCAACTCAGCTCTCTGGTTTTGCTAAAGTGGAAATAGCCACAGGCAGTACATGAAGGTAATAAGCACATCATATAACTGCAAAGTGCAAAATCCAGGCGTTACATAACTTGTCTATAGTGCGGAACGCTGCTGGGGGTGTGCAGAGCCCCTTCCCAGCTCCAGGTAGCATCGTGCCCACCCTGTCCTTGTAAAGGAGCTGCAACAGGTCACTGTCCCAGGCCAGTTCCTCTCTCCTCACACGCAGACGTGTTCCTGCTCGCAGCCATGGTTCAACGCTGTGCTAAACCTGCCCTCAGGGCTCCTGATACTGTACTGAAAACACTGTGACCCTGCAGCTCCTGAGCTAACTTAAGATCAGAGGTCAGACTGCTGGTTCATGGGTGACCAAGACATTTTTGCAGGTTACCTCTGTCTGGGCACTCTGCATGCCCAGCCAAGTGAGGTCCATCTGCACCACTGCTGCTTTACCCCACACCAAACACCTCCTGTCCCCTGCAGCCAGCACACGCCACGAGCTCCAGGAAATTCAGTGGAAATGCAATCATCCATGACTTCCAAATTCAGTCTTGACGGTCACATAGTGCCTGGGCCAGCCTGGTTCACCCACACTCCCCACACACTTGCTGCAGCGCTCAGAGGGACCACAGAAACTCACCTGCTCCCACGCACACTTGTACCTTCTTGGCATGCTTCCACCATGTAATCAGATTAAGCAAAGACCCAGCCTCAGCCTGTGCTCCAGCTCCAGATGGCTTCCAGGTGGGCTTGGGAGAGCAGCCCTGACCAGCAGCTCTGCAGGGCATCCTACCACCAGCACAGCAGCTGTCTGGGGGCTGCTGGTGAATCTCCTAGCAGCAGCACTACCAGACACCCTGGCACGTCCCTTCCCCCTGCAAAACCACCCTGCGCACAGGGAGTGCAGCAAACCCCCAGGCCAGCACAGAGCTGGAGACCCCGAATGAAACCCTTCCAGCTCTGCTGCTTGGTCTTATTCACCAAGGTGACTCTGCAGCAGCACTGATCTGGAGCAGCTTTCCAGGTGGTCATCCCATATATCCGTCTCCCAGGCCCTCTTCTGTCCAGCTTTCCTTTGCTTTCACAGCCCTCTTGATTTTCTCTGCAGTCAGAGCAGAGTGCTGCTTGTGTCAAAATGCTGGAGCTAATCTTACCATCCTTCCTCGGGAACCAGAAGCAGCAGCAGGGGCTGCAGCAAGGCTGTCAGCAGCGCTGAGCACTGCTGCTGTGTCTGCAACCCCCCAACGGCGCGTGCAACCGATGCTCCGAGGCAACAACCTCGGAAACAGCCATGCGCCTGGCACCAGGGAGGGATGCTGAGGCACCAGGGCACAGCGACAGGAGCTGCTCTGCTGCAGTGACGGGGGGCAGGCAGTCTTCCTTGGGGCACGCTCCAGCTTTTCACTGAAATAAGGGATATTTTTCATACCCAAGGCTTGAGATTCATCCAGAAATTGCCAGGTCCATGCACTTTGATCATCACCAGCATTACAGAAGTCACACCGTGCCACATGCCACCTCACTTCTCCCCTTCAAGCCCTGCTCATCCCATAGGGTTTCACTCAGCACCCCTTGACCAGGAGGTCCCTGCCCACCATCTCCCCTTCCTGGAGAGGTCTGCTGGGAGCCCCAGCTCCACATCTTACCAGCCTGGTTGGTGGTGATGTTCACTGATGCGAACTGCGGGGAGAAGGGGCTCTGGTCGGTGACGCCATTCACTGCCTGGATCTCGAAGGTGTACTGGGTGTGGGCCAGCAGGTCGCTGATGTAGATGCGGGGCTCGGTCAGGCCCAGCTGGCGGGGGGCGAACTGCACGTTGTCCCCGCAGCGCGTGCACGCCCCACGGCCGGAGCCGCAGCTCTTGCAGATGATGTTGTACACCAGGTCCTCCCGGCCCCCGGAGTCCCGCGGCGGGGTCCACTCCAGCATCAGAGAGGTCTCATTCACGCTGGAGATGACGGCCTGGGGGGCAGAGGGGATGGCTGTAAAGGGAATAGACAGAAAGGTGTAAGAGCCCGAGCCCTGCTCACTGCTACAGGACCAGCTGCACCCCCTCCTTTCCCTCATCCCAGACTCTGCAGCAGGCATGAGCTGAGCCGGGCGCTTCCTTTGGTGTCAGGGACATGCAGAGCAAGCTGAACAACCAAAGGCAAGTGAAGGAACAAAACCTGTCCTCTTGACCCAGGCTAATATGATTACATGGCATCCCTGGCAAAATTCACCAGATATTTTGTGTAGCGTTTCTGATTCCTTTGTACCAATCCCCTGTGTGCCAACGTGCAGGTCTTCTCGTCAAGGTATAGCCCCAGAGTGAAGTCATCCCACTGCCTGGAACAGCACAAAACAACCCAAATTCCTGTCCTCTTTGCACGTGCAATGTTTGCAAGTGCAGACTGGCCCAAGGTAAGAAAGACCCAGGCCCCATGCTCCATGCCTGCAAGGCTCCTCTGGGCAAGGTGCTCTGAGTCCCTTGGCCTCCTCCAAAATCCCACTGAGGCAGATGCCTTTGCTAAGCATCCCTCAGTGCTTCAACTAATGAGTATCTCCTTTCCCAGCTGTGTGCGGTCCCCCCCCAGTTGCCCAGACCCCACATACTGGTGCATGGCATGTCGACAGGATCAGCATCCGCCCGGTAATATCCATTTCGGCACACGCAGTTGGTGGCCCCTTCCGAAGTCGTCCGGCTGTTAATTGGGCAGTGGATGCATCCTTCATCCCCTTGGCTGGCCTTAAACATCCCCGATGGGCAGCCTGGAAAAGAACCAAGGGCAGCAGTGAGTGGTGCGGACAGGGGCTGGCGGGGGTGCCCCGAGCCACAAAACACCTTTCGGGGCTTTGCAGAGCCCAAAGCCAAAACCTGACAATTTAAAGAAACCAAAGTGGAGAAGGAGCAGCTGGTTTGGAGGCTCTGAGCAGGCAGGTGCTGCTGATCGTGCTGCCTGCAGGGATGGGGAGACGTCTCTTCCCCTACTCCCCAAACATCAGTGCGCAACAGGGTTCACTAGGGGAGTATTACGAATGCAAAGGAGATTTTTATTTTATTTTTTGATTTTTGTATCAAATCAGACCAAAGGTTCAAGGTCACCAGAACCCTCCCCTCAGCAGCAGCCACCCAACGAGCAGGGCATGAGCCAGGCACCCGCATCGCCCGCAATACCTTCCCACCCTCCAACAATTTATAGCCCAGGGACTTTCTACAAGGCAGGTTCTTTGCATTTCACATCCCTTGTGGGCTGTTTCTTCCACTAAGTTACCCAGTTCCTTTTTTATTCCATGCAAATGTTTCACACCCATTTTATCCCGCAGCACAGAGCCCCACGGTGTAATTTTGTGCTGCATGAAGAAACCGTTGCCCTCTGCTTTGAAGCTGCCAACTGCCACTTCATTTGATGCAACCTCACACGTGCACTGGCAGTGAACACTCAATGGCCATCCACCTTCTCCATGACTCCTGGGCTGCACAAACCTCCGTCATGCCCCAAGCAAGCTGCATAACAACATTCACTATTTTATTCTCTACGCTTTTCTCATAATTAGCAATGTCCAAATTATTATTTAACCACTGATGTACCAACCGGACTACCTATTATAGCACCAAGGTCTCACTCCTGAGAGACATGGAGCCAACTCAAAGCCTATCTCTGCTTATGATATTGAGGAGGGAAGACAAGGACTGGCTGTGGAGAGTTGCAGAAGGACTTTATGAGACAGCGTGATTGCGGAATGAGAAGGCAATTGGAATTCAGTAGACATGAGGTGGTGCAAATGGGAGGAAAGAACCCCAGCTTCACGCTCACAGACGCAAACTGCCACTTCTGCTGCAACCAGCAGCAGCACGCTGGGGTCTGTCTCCACCGGGGCTCAGACCTCAAAGCCACTCACAGATAAAGAAGATGCTTCGTCAGCAACAGCCACTCAAAAAACGTGTGTTCAGGCAGGCACGGTGGGCGAGGGTGGCACGGGGGGTGGGCAGTGCTTGCAGCAGATGGGCGGTGAAGGCTGGTCCATAGTGTGAAATACAGTATTAATAGCTACGGTGCAGGTGGCTAAAAACATCAGTGCAAAGCTTTAAACACCAGGAACTCTTTTCCAAGGCAGGGAGTCACCAGTGCCCAAGCCCAGGCTCGGCTGTAAGCACTCATGGGCACGGTGCTCAGTGGTTACTCCCGGTTGCGACTTTCCGCCACCACAGCTTTCCTGTGCAGCACAAAGAGCCTGGGGGGTGGCAGGTGGCTTCTGCACTGAGATGAGTTAAACAAACTTCTACTTCAGTTTGCTGCCAAGGCTTCCAGGAATGAGGCGGATCAGAAAAACAGCCTGGGAAAAACATATGCTCGGGGTCGCTATAAGCAAGAGTTATTATTGAGACGTACCTATTTTTTTCTTAAAAAAAAAAGTTTTTCAGTTTTCACCTCCCTTCCTTCAAAATTATCTTGAGTTTCTAATGAGAAAAGCTCTGCAGAAAAATACCATCACTCTTCTGGCTTGCAAAGTCCCTCCTGCTTCCTACAGTCGAAGGATCTGTTGAAAAACTGGCTTCTCCTCATGTTCCTGGATCTTCCTGCCCTCCCTGTCCCCTATCCCCTACACGTCTGACTCCATTTCTGACCCTATTCCGAGCATGCCCCTTGGTACAAACCCACCTCAGAGGGTGTTAAGCTGTTGGGAGAGGTGATGGCTGCGTAGTTCTCCGTTACAGAGAAGCGATAGTGGCTCCGCAGCTGAAATGGTAACAGGGTCCTCCTACTAATACCAATTTTTGAAACACGATAAGACCAACACACAAAATTGCTCTAGTCTGACATCCAGGGTGAAACACAGGGTCATTTGATCAAAGATGTTTTGAGACATGGGCCTCTTTCACCTTCCTGAGGCTTATTTTAAAAATAACAACTTTCCTATAAGGTTTCTTCTGCATCAAGATAGAGATACACCAAAAACCCCTACGCTGCTGAGATTTAGCGACTGGTCCCGAGAGGAAAAAACATTCCCCAGGTTTGGCCCGGCACAGGCTGAGGGCTTCAATTCATACTTCTGTGTGTGCTGCTCTTAGAGTGAGGCAAAAATTGGAGGCTGAATGATTGTTCACCAAAACCACCAAGCTGGGATGCTAACATTCCTTGCACACGCCATCAAAACATGGCCAGAAGTTTTGGCAACTTTTCTTCCTCCCCAGGAGGTCCCACACACCAACATGGGATAAAATAATCCTGGAAAATCAGAACTTCTCCAAAGATAAATATTCTGAAATCATGTTGAAAGAAAAGAAAAATCACTGAAATTCGATGCAAAACCCTTTTTCAATTTTTTTTTCCTCCGCTAATGACAACCGCCAGAAGGAAAATAAACGAACACTGTGTTCAAAACTGTTTTGTTCCCTCCAGGTCTTGCCCTGGGTGAGAAAACAGCTTTTAATCTGGAATCCACCCAATTTCTTGTTTCCAGAGTAAACAGCAAATCAAAACTGAATGTCCACAAAGAGGTTAAACGCCCTCCTGTTGGAACAGCATGGATGTTCTCACTACTGGCTGGGAGACACCAGGACACCCCAGTTTTCTGCCCCGGGTGGTGACAGCAGCTCTGGGACGTGATCCTTCCCCTTCAGCTCATAGCGAGGGCAGAGGCAAAGCATCCCTAGAAACTCCTGCTTGGAAAGAGGGAACTGAACCAGGGAAAGCACAGAAATTCCTACTGTATCAGAGCACCCTTCACCCCAGGACGGCGATGAAGAAGGTTTGCTAAAAGTACTGGCTGTAGCTCTCCCAGATAAGAATGGGAGTGCCTGAGCAGTGCCAGGTGTCCTCGTTTCCCACTCATCCATTCCCAGGGTGTGGAAAGGTGGGAAGGCACATGTTTTGGGAAGGGAATGACGTGGAGAAGGACCCATGAGAGGTCCTGCCCTCCCCTGCAGGAGGACCACGCCAGGGATCTGGGAGGGAAGGCCACTTGGAGACGGATTTTTTGCAAGGGCGTGTAGTGATAGGACAAGGGGCAGTGGATTTAAACTGAAAGAGGGGAGATTTAGATTAGAGATAAGGAAGAAATTTTTCCCTCTGAGGGTGGTGAGGCACTGGGACAGGTTGCCCAGAGAAGCTGTGGCTGCCCCATCCCTGGATGTGTTCAAGGCCAGGTTGGATGGGGCTTTGGGCAACCTGGTGTAGTGGAAGGTGTCCCTGCCCATGGCAGGGAGGTTGGAACTGGATGATCTTTGAGGTCCCTTCCAACCCAAACCATTCCATGATTCTGTGGTTCTGCAGCACTCGCTGCTGAGGGCAGTGCTGGCAGGAGGGTTCCAGTGCTCCTTCCCCACAGCAGTGCCCACCCTGGGGCAGCTCGGTGGAGAAAGGCACCCGTGGCTCAGCCTGAAGGAAAAGCTTTTGGCCAAATGTGCCGGAGGGGCTGCAGAGGGGTTCCCTGTTTGCTGGCCCCGTGTCCCACTGCCTCTCTCCCTCCTCCTTTTTAATTAACCCAGTGTGAGCTGAGCAGGCTCCAAACGGGCTCCTGTGCATCAGAAACAGCCCTGGTGGCCTTCAGAGCCCACCCACCTCCTGTGCACAGCCCGAGCAAACAGCTCGCTCCTGCAACAGGAGTTCCCAACAGGCACCTTCAGCCTTTGCTAACGGCTCCC